TTTAGAGAGAGAGACTGATTAGGGATTGATTAGGTAGTAGGTAAAGTAAGGGGTTATCATCTTTCATTCCAAACACTTCAGTAATATTTTATTTTGATTTAAAAACAAAAAAATCTTTTTACTGTGAAATGTTTAACAGAAATAGAAAACCACACAAAACATTAGGCTAATCAATCACTGCAAAGAGCTGTACAACAGCCATCTTGGTGACTTGATCAAGAGTCACCCCTGCTCCCTTCCCAATCACAACTCCCTCCTACTTCATTAAAAGTAACCAGTATTCTGGCATTTATAGTAACTACTTTGTAGTATTTCTTTATAGTGTTACCACCTCGAGATTTCCTGTAAACATATAATTTTGAGTGTTTTTTTGAGCTTTAATTAGTGGAATCAAAGACAACACATACCATTTTCTTTACCTTAGCTGATAAGAAAATTTTAATAGCCTTTAAAGATAATTCCCCAATTTCCTCATTTTCCAACAATGAGTACCTCCTTACTTGCCACAAACTTTCAAATAATAGCAGCTAAACTCTTATTGAGACTTTGACTATGCACTGGAAACTATGTATTTTATATATTACTCATTTAATCATCAAAACAGCACTGTAAAATAGTTTTTATGGTTATCCCCACATTTTACAGAAGGGAAAATAGCACAAAGAGATTAACTTAACCAAGATCACACAGTGACTAAGCAGGATACAGACTAAGCAGTCTACTTCCAAAGAAGTCCCTGGGTGGTGCAAATGGCTAAGTGCTCAAATGAGCAAGGTGGCAGTTCAAAGCCATCCGGAGGCACCTTGGAAGACAGACCTGGCAATCTGTTTTTGAAAGGTCACAGCCTTGAAAATATTATGGAACAGTCCTATTCTGCACACATGGGGTCATTATGAGTTGAAACAGCAATGGACAACAATCTACCACCTAACCTTGTGTTCTTACCTACCTCTCATGACAAAAAGACATTAATAAAAAGGAAAAATTTAAAGTATACAATATGACAAAATATTAATCACTTCTACCATGAAAATTAAAATGATTTATTTTTAAATTACTTAATTTCACAGCTGCTCCTTGGAAACCTATACAGGGGTCGCTATGGGTCGGACTCGACAGCACGTAACAACAACAATGCTTAATTATTTCCTTCTGAGATATCTTTGGACATTGAAAAGTTCAGAATAAATGACACAATGGAATTCACCTTTTCCAATACTTTTACTGTTAGGCATACAAGAACCCAGATTACTTATCCAACTGACATACTAGTTTATGTTGGCAAAAACATAAAAACTCAAAGTCTCCTAATGTCTTTCTATAAGACAATTGTGAATCATCAATCCAATTATAAAGCCTGTCAAATAAATAAAACCAGAAGTACATTCCAAGCATCCCACCTATTATCGAAGTCTCTCCCTTCAAAACCTAATAGCAGTTTTACCTACATTCCTTCATGCTACAACATAAACTGAACATCTACTGTGTGCCAAGCATTGGTTTAGGCATTAACAGTTTACATATGGGATGGCCTACATAGAGTACAAACATAAACTAGTCCTATGAAGTCCTGGTGTGTGTCACTGTAGATTAATGCATTGGACTGTAAAATTGGGTGTGAAATGCAAGGTCGATGGTTCAAGCTCACCAGTCGCTCCTTGGAAACCCCCATACAAGGTTGCTATGGACCGGAACCGATTTGATGGCACTAAGAACAACAACAACAACAACATACAGCTTATGGTGTAACAGCAGAGACTTTGGGTACTAAATATGATACAAAGTACTATGAAGAAAGGTTAAAAATTAAACATTTCCGAAAAAGGGCAATAGGTAAAAGGTTTCTAAAAATGATCTGAGAGGTTCACAACAAAAATTTAAAAGTACTCTAAGAGGAAAGTAAATAGAAAAGTCACAGGGTGACTTGAATGATGAGTAGGATTGTGATAAGAAAAGAATCACAGATGTATCAAGTATGAAGTAGCAAAGAAAGACTCAGAGGAATAAAAACACACAGAACTTTTGAATAACAGTTTCCATTTAGCTGGGTCATAAGTCATACTAAAAAAAAAACCTGAAAAAAAGTGCGGGTGATACTGGCTAGGAGTCCTGGTAGGGTGCTAACTACAAAGTTGGAGGTTCAAACCTAACAGCCGATCCTTGGAAACTCTATATATGATCACTATGAGTTGGAGCCAACTCCACAGTACTTAACAACATTATCATATTGGTCTAAGTCTTACATTCTGGTCTGGAATTTCTGATTTTAGCTTTATAAACCAGTGAATACAGGGATCTACTAAAGATTTCTGAGGAAAATGGCAACACTAAGACCCCAATAAGATTAACGTTGCAGCAAAACATAGGATAGGAAATCACTGAGGAAGTTATTGTAACCAGTAAGAGTGATTGAGAACCTGTGAAGTAAGGTGAAAATGGGTATAGAAAGATTGTGAATGCTGTGAAAAGGAAAGACAATTTGCAGCTTTTGACAGGTAAGAAATGGAGATATGTCATTAACAGAAAATGAGCAAGCTAACCAGGTGTGGCACTGTAAGGTAAGCATTGGACTGCTAACTGCAAGGTCAGTGGTCCATACTCACCAGCCACTCCTCCTCAGAAATCCTACAAAGGGTTATTATGAGTCGGAATGGACTCCATGGCACTTAGCAACAATCTAAAGGTAGAGCTAGGTGCAATGTTTAGAAGATTATAGTCTAAAACAAAGGTTGGCAATGTATTAATCTCATTCTATTTCTGAAAACAAATCATCTGGTAGTAAAATAAGCACAACAGATTATAATACACAAACAAGTACATGTAAAAAATATGCATATTAGAGCAAGATGTAAATTAGGTGATTTTTATCCTTAATACTTAGCACACTTGCATAGACTTGCACAGAACCATTATTTTTGTGAAAATACACATTAAGTCTCCACATTTTTAGATGCTAGTAATGTACTACATGCTAATAATCAATACATTTAAAGAAAATCCATTATTTAATGAATCAGCTGCAAAACACAGCTCATAAGTACTAGTAGATAAGAATTACAACCAACCATCATATATATGAGGGGACTTCAAAAAATTTTTGAAAAAACTCCATTATATCTTTCAACTCCATTTTCTCACAGACTTTTAAGAAGCACCCCTATATACCACAAATTTGCCATTTGGTTCAATTAGGTAAATTTGGAATATGAACTTCTATGTGGTCTTTTTGCCTAATGTTAAACAAGTACACTATGAGCTCCTCGAGGACAGGGTTGATGGTCTAGGTGTCTCATCCCCCAGTTCTCTGCACTCAGGAGGCCCCCAATAGACTGCTGAGAAATGGTCTCAAAGGTCTATTTCACTTGTCTATTACAGCACTTTCATAAGGTAGTAGGTATTATTACACAACAGTAAAGAACTAATGATCCAATAGTTGAGTGCCTACTATTTAACAGGTAATGGATTTACAAAATGAATTGCCTGTGACTCCTCCTTTGAATTTAGGATTTATTTCTCTAAACAAGTCAAACACCATACGCTTCACTACAAAAATTTGACTCACATTATTAGACTCACTATAAGTGAGTCTCTTTACTTCTTTAAACTTGATTTCTCATCTGAAAAACTGAGGAGGATCCAACATAAGAAAACTTGAATGTGTACTATAAAGTACTACAAGTATAATGTATGCCTTTGGCTTCCCACAGAATTCTCGGAACTCCTAACAGAGACACTTCATTAACAATGACATTGACACAAGCAAACACAAGCATATGCCTAGCTCAACACAGAGCCATCATCATATCACCGCCAGAAAAAAATCCTCCAAACAAACACTACTGTAGATAGTGGGTCAGAAATACGATCTTTATATGAGAACAATTCCATCTATGGAAAGACATAAATTTTCACTAGACAAATCTAAAGAAATTAAAAGCACATGTTTTAATTCAATAAAGCTTTGTTGGGAAATTCCAACTCTAATTCAAGATACTTCTAAATACATTTAAAATTCAAACCTTTATATTTATAGATGATGAAATAATGCAACTACTTTACAGGAAATAAGGCCCTCGCCTCACCTTATAAGATTAGATTAGCTGAGCACAAAACTTTACAAAAATCTTTTGAAATGCATGTATAAACAAATTTGGGGAGAAATTAGACTTAAGTTATTCAATTGATCAAAACCAGTTTCTAACTGCACAGAAGTATAATTAGCTCTTCAAAAGATAAGCTATATACTCATTTCTAGTTAACACTCATTATTTCTTTATCCATTTAAACTAAGCCTTAAACGACAATAAAATGTATAACTCAAGTATTTCTTCACAGAATATGACAATCAACACCACATTCCCAAATAAGTCGTTAAAAAAAAAAGCTAAAAATCTTTCCACAAAAATACAATTTGCTGTCACAATGTTTCTAAGTTAACCTATCTTAACTGAATTAACTAAACACAATGTACAAACATGAAAATGCACCATTAACCAGTGTAAGGAATATGTAAAGAAGCTTCAAAAAGTTTACGATGGTCAATTCAATTTTCCCATTAAGTTTTTTTTCTGCTATTATCCTTTTTATTACCAATGGCTGTTGTGATATCATCCATATCATTTTTAAGCATGTTATCTGCATCTTCTTCTCTTTTGTCAGATTTGCCAATGGTTCCCTTTATCTTTTTAAGCCTCTGGTATATAGCAAGGAAACCTGTATGGTGTGGACCTTAGAATTTTCTTGTGATGATTTTCTATGTATCATCACCTATGACTCTTTTCATTTAATTCAGGGGCAGGAGGGGGATAGGCATAGAGTTTTGACCAAAAGTTAAGACTATTATCCAGGACAATGACTTTTAAACCTATTTTTACGTTTCTTAAACAATAAACACAAAATGCTATTAAACTATTACAGACTTATGTTAAAAAAATCCTTTAGCAATCAAGATGATGAAAAGATTCTACATTCAAATTTTGCATTATGAAACGCTTTCTTACCTTCTGCTACATCATCATCTACGGCTCCTTTCACCTGAGAAAAACACCACTGAATATCATTCCCTCCTCCAGCTCCTGGAAAACACACACACACAAAACACAGCAATTAAAATTCAGTTCTGTTCATGTTTGCTCTTGTAAACAGAGAGATGGTATCCAGGTTGGCACAATACTAATACCTTAGTAATTCGCTCACCTAGAACCACCACCCCACAGCACTAATTTGGAAAAAAGTTGGCCCCCCAAATCTGATATTGTTTAAAAAAAAAAAAAAAAAAATTTAAAAGTACATACAATCATTAAATCATACATGTGTTCAAAACGTCCCTTCCATTTCATCACTTCCCCTAAAGCAGATTAAAGGAGCTCTGGCAACAGTCAGGCTGCCAACCTCAAGGTCAGCAGTTTGAAACTATGAGTGGTTCCAATGGAGAAGGATGAGGTTTTCTGCTCCAGTAAAAATTTACAGCCTCGGAAACCCTGTACAATGTCACTATGAGTCGGAATCGACTCCACGGTACTTAACAACAAAACAGATTAGAGCCTTACTTTCAAGAAAAAAGTAAATACCAAAAGTTAGAGAGTTTAAGTATACAGTAAAAAAAAAGTCTACAGAAGAGTTAATAAATTTAAACAACCATAAAATACAGAACGAAGAGAAAACTTCAGGAACATTACTGCCCCAGTGACAAGTAATGATTCATATGAACCCTATCACCAAAGCACACACACAACAAACAACACACACCACCCATTTCTGTGCATTTCATTACCAGCAGATCACTGGCTCCAGTCAGGAAAGAAACAGAAATGAATGCTTGTTGAAGTTTCAAGAGAAGCTTGTTTTGCCCTTCACCTTATGCTTAGGAATCCAAAGACCTTACAAAGCATTTATTTTACTAACTTGTCATCATCTTGTGCAAAACAATTTTAATTTCACTTTATTCGTTAACAAGGCCGAAGAGCAACTTGTTTTCAGCAAACTGTCAATTAATCCAATGTTAATTCTAAAGGTCTAATCTATCGAAATACTGGGGAAAACATGGCAAATTTGCTATAGTCCCTGAATGTTTCTATTTCACATTCAAGCAAATCATGTAATGACCTCAATCTATGGAGGCAGAAACTCAAACCAGATCTAGAAGTGATTCTACTAGATTAAAGAGAACTTCCAGCAATACCAAAAAATGTACAAAAATAACCTTCAAAGCAATTACCTCTTTTTCTTCCTTCATTCCTAATCCTTGCTAAATATTCCAACCTGCTTTTTCCTATACATTCTCCATTACCAAAGCTTTTACTAAATCTCTCCCTCCTTTGCTATTTATGTTGCTGTATTCCACAACTATGTAACTAACTCTATAAAACCCATTTGGAAAAAGAACATCTGCACAAAGGCTAATGTGCAAAACGGAAAGTTGAAATTACATTTAATTTTCATGCAACTTGCAGTATGAAAGGCCTTGCACTTTTTGGCCGTAACGGTGAAGAAACGAAACAAAACTATCTAGAGAGTTTTGATGGTTCGAGACAGAAAAATCCAGGTTTCTTGCCTTACAAATATACATCTCCACTGTAGGGGCAAAAAAAAAAAAAGCATGTATGTTCTATTGTATTTTAACTTGAAAAACACTCTTTCGTCTCTTTGCAAAATACACTTGTATATACACCCAAAAAAGCTTGCAGCAAGAGGAAATACAGGAATTAAATGGAAGATCCGCAAAAATCCCGGAGGAGGGGGGGATGCACCGGGCTCCAAGGCAGTAAAGACTTGCACTCGCCCCCACCCCGCCCCACCCACGCCTTACCCCACAGCTTGCCGACACAAACCCCACCCCCACCTACGCAAAGGTTCCAGCCCTTATTTTAAAAGCCATTTTGGTTTCACGGCGACCACTGGCCTCCCCAGAACCCTCCCCACCCCCACCCCACCCCACCCGGCCAATTCCCTGAAATCCGAGGGCGCCCCGTGGCTTTCGGCGCGGCAGAGACGGTCGCTAGGGGGTGATGGAGGGAGAAGGACGGAAGCGGTGCCTTGTCAGTGGCCAAGAATGATTTCTCCTTTACCTGCCATGTTGCGCTGCAAATGGTGACCCTGCTGGGTTCCTCGGGGTCTCTGCTCCTGAACTCACCCCCCTCACCTGGGGATGGGGGGGTAGAGAGGGCGGATGGCGGCGGATGGCACCTGTGGGGGAGGGGTCGGGGGTCAGGGAAGAAGGAAAGAGGGGCGAGCAGACCAGCCTGCAGGATGGTGGATTTCACTCTGGAGCTTCCCCGCTTTTGCTTTTTCTCCAGCAACGACAGCGGCAGCTACGACAGCGGCGGCGGCAGCGGCAGGGACAGGCGACTCCACTTTCAAAATGGCGCCGGCTGGCCTGGCCAGTGATGTCACTGGAGGGGCGGAGCCTCCAGGCTCGGCCGAAGGGGCGGGGCGGAGAGAGAGAGGATTAGGGAGGAGGCGGGGGAGCGGCGGGCTGGCTCAGGCCACGCCTACTTCCTTCCCAGCCCTCACCCCACCCCACCGCCGCCCCTCCCGCGAGGTGCCTGGGTCTTGCACGACCCGCCGGCCTCGGTGCCCAGCGCGCTGACACGCTCGCTGTGCGTCTTGTCTTACTGCTGTGAGCTCTGTGGCGGATCTTACTAGTCCCCGCCCTGGCGCGTTTTGCGTTGCCTCCACGATTCGCGGCCCATCTGCACGTTACAGTTCCCCAAGCACTCGAGACTTTCTAGAAGGATTCAGTAAATGCGCGTCAAGGTCGGGAATGGGGGAGCAAGCTTAGCTGTCAGACCAACGTGCTCGCTCGCGGAACTGCGTGCTGTTTTATGTGTTTTCTTTTTACAGATTACCCGTCTTGTTATTTAAGAAAGTGACACTGAGGTTTAACCCTGAGGCCATGAAATGAAAGGACGACGGTGCACACTCACCGCTTAATGGAGGTGAAAGTTCACGGACCTGAGAACGAGATAACTGGGCTGGGTCCATCTAGGTGAATGAAATTATCCTTTCACGGGCCCTGGGAACTCAGGCTTAGGCCAGAGACCCTTCTTGTCAACTGGCAGCAGTAATAGTGATTTCCAAAGAGAATACGGAGTTGGCTGTTACCAGAATATGCCCGGAAAAAATGACCCAGGTTTGTGCAGCAAAAAGAAGTCGAGCCTGTAGTTAAAAGGGGCTCTGAAGCCACGCTGTTTGGGTCCCAAATGCTAAATCTGAGTATGGTGGTGGTGGTTATGTGCCATGGTCGAAACCGACTCATAGCGACCCTGTAAAGGGTTTCCGAGGCTGTAAATCTTTACGGGAGCCGAAAGCCTCATCTTTCTTCCGCGGAACAGCTGGTAGTTTCTAACTACTGACCTTAAGGTTCACAGCCCGGTTCGTAACCACTACGCTACCAGAGCTCTTTAACTATGAATATGAGAGGAAAATAATTCTACTTATGGGATTGTTTTGAAGACTGACAATTTGAGTAACCAATAAATGTTAGCTGCCATTACTAATTGTATTTAAGGACTCTTCAGTGCAGTTAGGAGACAGAAGAAAAACGATAGGAAAAGTCAATCATTAGCCAAAGGGATGTGTACGCTGGTGGAAGATGCTCTCATGATCAATTACTATGTACATTGCACTTTAGCTATCTCACTTAATCTCCATAATAATCCTATGTTGTTGTTGTTATGAGTCGAAGAGTCGGTTTCGACTCATAGCGACTTAGTACAGGGTTTCCAAGGCTGTAAATCTTTACGGGAGCAGAAAGCCTCATGTTCCTCACCCGGAACAGCTGGTAGTTTCGAACTGATGACCCTGAGGTTAGCAGCCCAATTTGTAACCACTACGCTGCCAGAGCTCCTTAATAATCCTATGGATGTTGTTAAATTCCATCAAGTCGGTTGGACTCAGTGACCCTGAATAGGGTTTCCCAGGAGCCATTGGTGGATTTGAGCTGCCAACCTTGCAGTTAGCAGGCCAGTGCTTATCCTACAGTGCCACGCCAGGACTCCAAACCTATGGATTGTTGTTGTTAAGTAGCATTAGTCTGTTTTGTGTCAGTGACCCTTTATAGAGTTTCCGAGGAGCAGCTGGTGGGTTTGAATTGCTGACCTTGTGGTTCCCAGTGCAATGTTGATCCTACAGCATCACACCGGAAGTCCACTCCTATGGATAGAGATCTAGTGAGCTGCATTTTTACATGTGAAAAACACTTAGAAAACCATAAAAAATTTCACCTTACTGGCTGAATGAAGAGATAAGATATTCATAGACCAGGAAGGGATAGTTAAGATATTTACAGCTCTTCCCCATCTTCTCTTCCACTTTGTTCCATATTATGGATTTCCAAAACAGTTCATTTTTAAAAAAGAAGTTTTCAAAATTCCACCAGACGCTATGACTTCACCAATGTATTATTATATTCCTCCACTTCTACATTACAGTTTCTCAATTTATCAACAAATAAACTGTACAAACAGATAAAAGACTGCTGTTTTTACTTCTAGTATTTAGTTGCTGTCTTAAATGTATTTCTCTGGACTGCCTCTCCCCTTAGTTTTCCTTTTGCTTTCTCTGCCCTTGTGTGATAGTTCAATCCCAGACTCCTCTGAGTGAGTGCTTCGTCTTAATCAACTTGCGTAGCAACAAGTGAGAGGAGACCATTAATCTGGGAGGATGGCACTGACATGGCCAAGTTACTTCTCTGTTTTATGCTTCAGTTTTGCCATCTTCACATACACTGAAAATAATTTGGTGTACATAATTTGTTCTTAGATTTAAGCTTGCCTGGAAAAATCACAAGCATTATGTGCTGAGTGCTCTTCTAACAATATTACATAGAGTCTTGAGTTACTACATGACTATGGGACCGACTAAAATGGGCCTAATAATCAAGGAGCAGTGTATCTTGGTCCTGTGGTAAAAGTGACCTGGAAATTTTTGGACCTGAGCAGTCATTCCCTGTAGAAGATCATAAATTGCTTCCCATTTTTGTGAATGGCTTATAGGAAAAGAGGTCATATTTTACATTCTCTCTTCCATCCTCCACAGCCATAACCCCACCACTTCACTGAGGGGACTTCTGCTAGGCCATTAATAATCTTCACATTACCAAATACAATAGTTACTTCTTTGCATCTCTTTTCAGTTGTTTCTTAACTGTATCTGAAACCTTTATCCCTTACGCCTTCTTTAGACTCTTTTTTCTCTTGTCACTTTATTGTGTTTCTCCAGCCTTTCTAACCACTCCTTCCTGTTTCCTTTGTTGGCTTTTTCCTCCTAGGCCACCATTTAAGTATCTGGGTGATCTGCCTCCTTGTTGCTAGGTGCCATCAAGTCGGCACTGACTCATAGCGACCCTATGTACAACAGAACAAAACACTGTCCGTTCCTGGGCCAACCTCACAGTTGTTGCCATGCTTGAGCCCATGGATGTTGCCACTTTGCCAATCCAACTTGCTGGGAGTCTTCCTCTTTTTCTCTGACCTTCCAACTTACCAAACATCATATCCTTCTCCAGACACTGGTCCTGCCTGACAATATGTCAAAAGTATGAGAGATGAAGTTTGGCCATCCTGGCTTCCAAGGAACACTCTGGCTGCACTTCTTCCAACATAGATCTGTTCTTCTGGTAGCCCACGGTACTTTCAATATTCTCCTCCAACACCGTAACTCAAATGTGTCAATTCTTCTACAGTCTTCCTTATTCACTGTCCAGCTTTCTCATGCATATGAGGTTATTGAAAATACCATGGCTTGGGTCAGGTGCACCTCAGTGCTCAAGCTGATATCTTTGCTCTTCAACAGTTTAAAGAGGTCTTGTGCAGCAGATTTGCCTTATGCAATACGTTGTTTGATTTTTTGACTACTGCTTCCATTCCGTTAAGTGTTGATGGTTGATCTAATAAAAATGAAGTCTTTGACAATTTCCATCTTTTCTCCACTGATAAGAATATTTATTGGTCCAGTGGTGAGGATTTTTGTTTTCTTTATATTAAGATGCAGTCAATACCAAAGGCTGTGCTCTTTGATCTTCATCAGTATTTTAAACTCTCTTCATTTTCAGCAAGCAAGGTTGTATCGTCTGCATATCACAGGTTGTTAATGAGTTTCCTCCAATCCTGATGCCACGTTTTTTTTCATATAACCTAGCTTCTCGAATTATTTGTTCAGCACACAGATTGAATAAGTATGGTGAAAGAATACAACCCTGGCACACACCTTTCCTAATTTTAAACCGTTCAGTGTTCCCTTGTTCTGTTCAAACAACTGTCTCTTGATCGATATACAGGTTCTTCAAGAGCACAATTAAGTATCCCAGAGTTCTTCACAATGTTGTCCATAGCTTGTCATGATTCACAGAATCGATGGCCTTTGCATAATCAATAAAGCATAGGTAAACATCTTTTTGGTATTCTCTGCTTGCAGCCAAGATCCATTTGACGTCAGCAATGATATCCCTCATTCTATGTCCTCTTCTAAATCTGGCTTGAACCTCTGGAAGTTCTCTGTCAATGTATGCTTGTAGTTATTTCTGTATTACCTTAAGTAAAATTTTACTCGCATAGGATATCAAAGATATTGTCCGATGATTTCCGCACTCTGTTGGGTCACCTGTCTTTGGAATTGGCACAAATACGTATGTCTTCTATCAGTTGGCCAGATAGTTGTCTTCCAAATTTCTTGGTATAGATGAGTGAGTGCCTCCTGTGCCGCCTTGGCCTCTGTCTAAACACTGTACACACTCTCCAGGGAACCTCAATTAGTATTACAGATTTAAATACCATGTTTATTTCAGTTTCTGCCAAATCTGGATCCCTATTCCTATCCTCATCCTAGAAGTATACCTACCTATTTGACATTTCCATGCAGATGTCCAATATTCCAGTTTTGATTGCATATGCCCTCCATTATTTGGATGATGCTATCCCTTTCCCTGGAATACTCATACTTCTCAATGTTGTCCATAGCTTGTCATGATCCACACAATTGAAAGCCTTTGTGTAGTCAATAAAGCATAGGTAAACACCTTTCTGATATTCTCTGCTTTCAGCCAAGCTCCACTGGACATCAGCAATGATATCTCTCATTCCACGGCCTATTCTGAATCCAGCTTGAACCTCTGGAAGTTCTCTATCAATGTATGATTGTAGCTGTTCTGTATTACCTTTAGCAAAACTTTACTTGCAGAATACTAAAAATGTCATGGACAGCCAAAAGAATCAATAGATCTGTTTTTGGAAGAAGTGCAGCCAGAGTGCTCCTTGGAGGCCAGGATGGCTAAGCTTCATCTCTCATACTTTGGACATTGTCATGAGGGAACAGTCGCTGGAGAAGGATGTCATACTGGGTAAGATGGAGGGTCAGAGA